AGCGCCGAGTCCTCGCATTTAAGACCTTTGGCCAGAGCTATGGCCGACTCGTCTGTATTGATGTTTCTTAAGGCAAACATCGCTCGATAGCGTGAAAACAAGTCATTGTTTGGATCAATTAGAAGACTCTCGAGCTTTGATATGTCGCTCTCATGGCATCGAAGTGGTGGCACCGGATCCACAGACTTGAACGGTACGGACGAGCCGTCGGTAATGAGGTCTTTGGTTTTGTCCAGCAAATACTCGATCCGTTGAATCGCTAGTAAACACGTTTCGGACACCGATTTGTTGCCATCGCTTAAGTATTTCTGATAATAAACACAACAATTAAAACAAACGACAAAACATTTGCGACAAATGAATGATACCTTTAAGACGTCCAGCGATTGGTGAGCGCCGATAGCGCCGAGTGCTTCTGCGGCCTCGTGTCTAACCATCGGGTGTTCGTCAGTGTTGGCCAACACTCGGTTGAGGACAGGTATGGCGTGAGTGTCTTGTATTTGTCCCAAACAATAGGCGCACTCGTGCTTCAGGAGCGCCGACTCGTCCTCCAGAAGACACCGACAGATGTGGTCAATACTGACGGTTCCGCCGATGTTTCGCAGTGTAAACAACGCCCGAAATCGTTGACCAATCGGACGGTTAACGTCGTTAAGGAGGCGACCAATGGCTGACAACTGGTCCGCAGTCACTGTCGACGACATCTCTTCGGCAATCAATTTGTAATTCAATTAAAAGCACGTGTTTTTTGACACCAAAACACTCAGTGTTTGTAAACAATAATTAATTATAACTTTATTATAAAGCGATTCGCGATTTAATTATTGATTAAACGAAAGCGATGTTTGAAATCACAATTTAAACACTTGTTTACAAATTAATAGTTAATTGTTATTAAGTTTGCAATACTTTTAAACTTTTAATTTTGTATTTTTGTTATCATTAAAACATTTATTACAAAATATTACTCGTTTATAACGTATGTGTAAGCAATGAGTGGGTATTCAGTCTATTATTGACTGATAACTGGCGTAAAATAAGGGGGACTTAAGAGGGGGTATATATCGTAACGTATTCTGTGAACGGAACGATCGCATAGACCTCTACCGTAAATTGTAAAGGCGTTAGAGTAGAGGTGCAGACGTGTGCTGTGAGGCCTGGAGTCCGCCATTTGTGTCACATTTTGAGTGCAAATCGTGTTTACAGTCATTATTAAAATGTGTTTTTAATTGTGATTACAATTAATCCCACAATTAATTGCATTTCACGTCAACTGATTGTCACTCAGTTATGACAGACGCCGGCTTTTTTCGGGTAAGTGTCGGCTCGAGTGCACCACAACTGGCCGTTGCGGTCACCGGCCGTTGTGTCGGCTCCCGACCCATGCCTTTGATAATGGATTTGCCATTGAATTGTTGATTGCATTGTCACTAACGATGGTTTGATTGGATCTGTTTGTAGGGCACGAGTGCTGAACAGGACAACCGGTTCGCCGATAAGCACAAGAAACTGTTGAAACAATTGAAGTTTAATGAGATTCTGGTCAACAAAGTAAGTGTGGATTGCATTGGCGTTGAATCTGTGGTTTGATTTAATTGATTGATTAATTGTTTGTTTGTGTGCCGATTAGGTGGACATAAAGAAAGTGAATTTGGATGTCTTGAGGCCATGGATTCACACGAGAATTGCTGCGTTGCTGGAGATGGAGGACGAAGTTGTGGTCGAATATGTCGTAAACCAATTGCAGGCCGAAAAGGTATTCATTCATTCACTTCACTCGTCTCTCTTCCTATCTATTGACCGATGATTTGGACATTGAATTGATTTTATTACTAATTGTGTGATAATTAGTTGTAATTATAAAGGATTGCTTAATCTGTCGATTGTATTGTTAATGATATGGTTTTAAAGGTTTATAAAATGGTGAAAATAATTGATTACTGATTAATATATAAAATATATATTTTATCCCAAGAATGCAAACATACATCTGATTTAAATGACAGTTGAATTAAAATAATGGGGGTTTTGTGGCTCTGAATGTATTAAATTGGTTTGATTTAAGGTTTAATATTAATCACTAATTATGTAATTAATGAATAAATTATGTGAAATATAAATATTGAGTCAAAAATAGTAAATATTGTTTGCGATTTTGATTCAATAGATTCCATATGTATCGCAAAATGTGCACAAAATGTAATCAAATCTATTATAAGAACAAAATGTGACCAAATATTGTGACAATTCATCCCCTGTATAGTCATCTGAAGAACACTAACGCAATGGTACTCCCAATCAATTAAACATTACTTAATAAAAGCTTTCCTTTTGCTCTCTTTCCCATTAATCCATATGTTTTCCTCTTTTATTAATCCCATTATTTCTTTTAATTTTTACTCATTTTAATTGTAATTATCTTTTTGTTTGTGTTTTAAAATGTAAAAAATGTTTTATTTAAGTGAAAACACAAATCGACAGAAAATATATTAGCGTTTGATCTGAAATAATATTTGTAACGACTTATTATCTCATATAGTCTTCTTGTGATCAGTCTTTTAGGCGTTTCAACCGATAGTCAAATAGAGAACCGGTGTTTCTGACGGCAAGTCTTGTTATTATCATTCGCTGCCATTGAGAGGGAAAGACGAACAAGAATTTCAACACTTTTTGTCATTAACTTTGATATTAATAATGAATTGATATAATTATATGTTTTATATTTTTTTATTTAATTGTATAAATACTTAATTCGTGGTAAACTAATGTGTGTTTCTTCCCATCGTTTTCATTATGACCTCCAGTTCCCGGACGGAAAGCTGATGCAAATCAATTTAACCGGTTTTCTCAACGGCAAGAAAGCGCGTGAATTTATGGGCGATCTCTGGACTCTATTGATCAGCGCTCAGAACTCTGCCGACGGTATTCCCGAAGAGATGGTTACTCAGAAGAAGGAAGAGATTAAGAGACGAGAGGTTTGCAAATCAATTGCTTATTTGACAAGTTTTGAAAATGATTTATATTTTAATGTTTTTGTTTTAATTCTTTGCGATTTTAATAATTAATTATTTTGTTTCAATTTAAAGGCTGAAGAACTGAAAAACGCGACCGAAGAAAAAGCGAAGAATGGGAAACCTTTTGGCAGATCGTCACCAAATCGGCGCAGATCTCGTTCCCGATCTCCCGCCCGAAGGAACTCACGCTCTCCGCGGAGACGATCGCCGATATCCCGAAGCCGTCGGAGTCGGTCTCGTAGTCCGCGCGGACGGAAACCTCCGCCCAAAAGGGAATACTTAGCTAAGAGTACTTCGCGATCGAAAAGTCGCTCTAAGAGTAGGTCGCGTTCACCCGCGCGAAGACGTTTCGTGAGTCCCAGCAAAGGGTCGGCGAAGAATGCGTCGCCACAGAAAGAGTCGTCAAAATCTCGCACTCCTTCTCCGAAAAGAAGCACAAGTTCTGCTCCGAGTTCTCGATCGCCGTCTCCGGCACTCAAACTAAAACCAGATCCCGAGGAAAGTGTAGTAAAACCCAAAGTGAACGACACTAACAGTAATCCATCGCCTGATAAGAAACGTCAATACAGAGGAAGGGATTCAAAAGAGAAGAGCGGTTCCGATGGATCCAAGTCTGGCTCGAGATCTCGGTCGAAGTCAGGCTCGAAATCTCGTTCGCGATCTAATTCGAGATCAAAGTCTGGCTCCAAATCCCGTTCGCCGTCCCCTCGAAGGAGACGTCCCTCAGCTTCGCCCCGAAGGAGACGCTCCAGAAGTAGATCTTTGAGGCGTAGAAGTCGTAGTCGATCTCGTAGTCCAAGAGGTTATGGCAGATATCGAAGCCCTCCCCGCCGTGGGTTCGGACGAATGCAATCTCCGCGACGTTTTGCGCCAGCGAAACTCTTGTCTAAGGCAAGCGGAGGCGCAGCCGCTTCTAGAGGTAAGAGAGGCGCTTCTGCACAAAGCGCAAGAGGGGCAGCCGCGGCAAGGTAGAGTAACAGCGGCTCTGCAGCAAGCCCCTCATCGTCGCCCTTACGTCAGGCAAGACGTCCTCAACGATCGCCTCCACGAGCGTCTCCTCCCAGACATTCCCGTCGATCGCCATCACCGCCAGTGACCCGACGACGCTCTCCATCACCGCCAGTATCGCGACGCCGCTCGCAATCGCCTATCCGTAGACGCGGTTCGCCCGACAATAAGGACAGACAACGCGCCGATAACAAGAGGTCAGCCTCACCTCCGGGTCCTCTTCGAGCCAATCTTCGAGCACAGAGAAGGTCGCCCTCACCCGTCACTAAAAAGGTTCAGAGAGAGGTTTCACCGCCTAAGAGGTCGCCCATACGTAACGCTCCTTCACCTAAGATATCACCCATGAATGCCTCATCCGATCGAAGGTCTAATTCTAAGTTAAACCCGACTTCTACTCAAACAATAACTCCTTTGCCTAATAAACCAAAACCTGAAAGACATAGACTCTCGCCTCAGAATAGAAGAGATGCTAAACATAGCGTTAAAAGTGAAGAGAAAGTAGTTGTTAAACGAGAGGAACCAATTCGTGACCAAAAGCACACCAATGAGTAAATTATTAGAATTAATGTTGAATAATATTAACATCTATTATACGTTTACATTATATTTATATTATATTTTATGATATATTGTTTGCCCAAATCTAAGTGACAATTGGGACCCAACCCAACGCCAGTCGTCTGAATATCCAATGTTTGGCAATTAGATTAAGGCCTGGATTGAGATTTAGTTTTTCAATTTCTATTACTTTAAATTGAAGGTCTTTTTGACTATAAATACCATTCGAGTCAAACATATTTTACATTAATTTATTAAACGAAAAAAAATAAGAATAAATTTTTATTAATATTCAGTTATTTCTGAATTTGGGTTGAATTCAAAAAACCAGTATTTTTTGGGGAATTAAAACATTTTATTATTAGTCGATATAATTATTGTTTTTTGTT